AGTGTTCTTTTGACGGAACTATAAGTATCCTCATTCGAAGAGAATTAGGGTTACGACTTTGATAAAGAAGAAAAACACTTCATATCAGTTTGATGAGATCAGATCTTTGATTATCATGCCTCTTCTCAATACAACATGTTCATGGTGATTACGATGACGAACTTGAGAAGAATCACTGCTGCTTAAACGAAAGGACACTTGATCACACTGTTGTGGGAACAACTGTAAAGAGCGTCATTGAAGTGGACTGCATCAGAGTGGGCTCTCCAAGTGAAGGGATTTCATTGGACTTCTGTATGCATGGCTCTCCATCTTCAACAATCCACTAAACCTGTGTAGACTGGATATGAACCTTGTGTGGGGCACTTGGGTAAGATTATTGTATATCTACCTTTGTACATCGGATTATGATTTAGTGGATTAGACGCCTATGTGATCGTCCCCCAGACGTAGATACACACTGTATCGAACTGGGTAAACATTTTGTGTTGTTGGCTTTGTGGTGTTATCTTTCCTTTAATCTTCACTATGATTTTTTATTACTGATTGAATTCATCGCTGAATCAGTCAGTCCATTTAGTCAGTCGATTAATCCAGTTAATCTGTTTAAAAAGAGAAAATGCAAAATTACATGTTGATTTTTAGCTCAAGTATTGAGGCTATAAATGAAACCAAACGAACTCTATGTCAACAGTTTGAAATGAAGGATCTAGGAGAAGCCGATGTGATACTCGGGATAAAAGTCACAAAAACCAATACAGGTTACCTTCTATCCCAAGGTCACTACACAGAAAAACTTCTGAAGAAGTTTGACAGTTATGATGTTGTTCCGGCTAAGACTCCTACGATCCTAGTGTCAAACTACTGAAGAACATGGAGTCAGGTATGTTTCAAGAAAAATATGCAAAAGTAATTGGGAGTCTAATGTTCTTGATGAACTATACACGTCCCGACATTGCATTTGCCGTGAATAAACTTAGTCGTTTCACTCATAACCCTGGTGGCCCTCACTGGGACGCACTAAAAAGGATACTCCGGTATCTTAGAGGCACGTTAGACTTGGGTCTCAACTTCAAAGGATACCCAGTTGTGCTAGAAGGGTTCTGTGATGCGAACTGGGTAAACGACAGTGATGATGTCAGCTCTACAAGTGGATATGTGTTCACACTATGTGGGGCTGCTGTGTCTTGGAAATCAACCAAACAAACGTGCATTGCCAGATCAACTATGGAAGCAGAGTTCATAGCTTTAGATCTGGCTAGCCAAGAGGCCGAATGGCTAAGAAATCTGTTGGCAGAGGTGCCGCTGTGGGGGAGTCCTGCTCCTGTTGTACCCATTCATTGTGATTCTCAAACTGCTATTTGTGTGGCACAAAATAGTGTCTACAATGGAAAGAGAAGACACATTAGAGTCAGACATGAGTCTGTACGGCAGTTAATATTGAATGGGGTAATCACAATGGAGTTTGTGAGATCTGAAAGGAATATAGCTGATCCTTTCACAAAAGGCCTAAATCGAAAGGCTATCCTTGATACATCAAGGGAGATGGGCTTAAAAGCCAATGAGGTGAGAAATTCATGATGGATACCACCTCGGTGGTCAAACGAAGTCATGGAAAGACTCGCATTTATAAGCAGACTGTAAATCAGTCCGCACGCCGTTGGCAGTCAACGGTAAAGTACACTCGGTGGAGTGGAATGTCTGTGCTGAGACAGACAAAACAGGGTTAATACATGGTTATCCAAATAACCATACAAAGTGTACAACAAATGAAGCTAACGAGGTGCACATAGGTTCAAAATTCAACTAGCCGAAGAGTTCAAGACTCTGTTCACTCTCGGATAGTGGATTACTTATTGCCACCACTTGTCAATTCAAGTTTAACACACTGACATGAAAGCTAGCTCCTGTTTGTTACGCTCAGGTTCTCTCCGTCAATCCTTTCATCTTCGAATGTGTGGGGGATTGTTGGGGAAACATTCAAAGGAAAGGAACAATTTATGTGGTCAGCATGCATTCCCTATTATGAGGGCCATGCATTCTTGTCTGAAAATATGGAGTGGTCAGCATTGGCCTTTGAGATGAGGGCCATGCATTCCCTATTTTGGTGTTTCAATTGTAATGAAGGTAAATTGCTATAAATAACAATTTATTCTTCATTATAAACACACGGCATTACAGCCAAATACGAGAAACACCACTCTCTATTCTTCTAGGATAAGTTATTCCCGTCTGTGTTATATGTCGGAGATATAGCGATACCCTGGTCGTTAAATATCTTTAACTGTTGGGTATTCATCGCACCTATTTTACCCAACAGCCTCTAACACCTAACGGTTCGGCGATGATGCTAAACTGGCAATCAAACAAAATGGCGCCGCGAACCAACACCCAATGGTGTTGTATTCCAGAACATAGTCCGCAGCTACTGTATGCCATAACGTACCCGAAATCCAGTTGCCATCGCTGCGTCTAAATGCAGCGCTCATGCATGGCACTCAATAGCGTGTCCATTGGCCATCCAACATGCAATGGTTGAAAAGATCCGGCAAGAACAAAAGTTCCAAATCCATATCCATTACCATCTTCATCTTTAATCAGCCAAAAGAAAATCTAATTGCAGAAAACTAACCTCTGCGTCGCCGATGGGAGAAGAAAGGAGGAGCGAAGTCGACGGCGACCAACGCATCCAGACAGGAAGTCGACCAGGGAGAGAGAACGCTGGAAAAGGAGCCAGCCGCAGCACCACCGGTTGCAACCCTCACCCGAGACCCAGCGCCGCCATCCCTCCGCCGCCTCCCAAAGCCGCTCCAACAGACTGCGTTTGCCAGCCTCGCCGGAAGGGTAGCGATCACGACGCTACCGCCGGGAACCCTGCTTCGTCGTCGCCATCGTCCTACGCCGCAACGCCTCATATCCCTTTCGTCGTCTCCTGGAAGATGTGGACGAAGCCTCGGCGTCTCACATGGTGCAGGTTGCCACTATCGCCTCCCCTCAATCGTCACCAGAGAACCCTGGCCACCATCAACAACATAATTCCGGCGAACGCAAATCCGGTGATTTTCCAGTGAACTCAGGCAGTAGGTAAGATTCAAACGATAATTTCGAGAACCAAACCAAATTTAAAACGTTCTTTAATGCAGAAAATAATCTTCAGCAGACCGAAACATAATTCTTTTGAAACAAGATATTCAATTATATCATAGCCAAATAGATATATCTTGTATGTGTAGAATTAATATGTAAAATATATACAAAAGCTTCATGAATATGAGATTAATGTTGATTTTTCTTCATTCCAACATCCAAATGCATATATTCTTTTCATATAGAAATATACAAAATATACACCATGGATATATATACTTCAATATTGTAAATATTTCACAGCAATAGATCAGATATACACACTTGATACATATTTTCAAGGAAAAAACAGTAAAAACATATACTGCATATATATAATTCAAAATATGTATCTATCAAGTAGTTTCAACAACTAGGCAGAGATTAAAATGAGGCTCTGATACCAAATGTTAGAATAATGATACGATATTATAATTGTAATGATCTAACCTCGTAGCGGAAGCATAGGAATCGAGCAAAACTCCAGCCATAGTTGATACCTTTGTGTATTGCGTTGTGAATAATCGTAGTAGCAATTTCTGCAAACGTTGTCTCCCACTTGGTCTCCGGACAGTATAGATGGTGTGTTTCAGGTGTTCCAGAGCAGTGGGAGGACCTATATTTATATAGCCTTATATGCCATCAATATAGGCTTTGTAACGAAAACTGTTATTTCCGTTACAACATTATTGCTACCACTAAGTAGCCATAAAGTGCCCTATTTAAACTTGCACCACAATAATATGACTTAATGGAAAATATTGTTTACAAGATATCCAAGGATAATTCAAACATTGGTGTTTTGTTAGGCACAAAATCAAGTTTGAGAACAAGAAAATTAACTCAACTTTTGGTGTTGATCCTATGGTTAGACCGTAGAATAATATGATAACTAAATGCTAGGTATTAACCTATCTTTATGTTTAAGTAAATTTTCATTATTTTTTCCCTATTTTTTTGTTGCTTTAAGTTTTTCTCATTCTATTTGTTCATGTTTTTCGTGTAATCCTTTACGACTTTTTGTTCTTTCCATATTTGAATGAAGGAAAAGAGGAAGCGATTGTCCGTTGGCACCTTGCAAGCGCACGTACGATGCACGACCGGGTAGGTAGCATGCACCCCACACACTCATCATTCACTCTTTTTCTTTTATATATATATATATATATATATATATATATATATATATATATTTTGAATTTCCAAATGCACTACTACAAACGGATAGTGGAACCAAGTGGCAGATTTTTAACATTTGGAATAGTGAAATACTCCCACAGCTACAAAATCTAGCCTAAATGGCTAATTTAAGTACACATTATTGTGATTTTGAGTCCTGAGATTGTCGTTCTAGTAGACCCACTAATTTACATGATTCTTCTTACCGTGTTTCCCCTACAATCAAACTTTTGGAATGAATACACACTACAAGAAAATTGCTCATTAGTGAGAGGTAAAACCGTCACTAAAAACTCAAAAACCATCATAAAAGACTTTTAATGACGGGAAATTTACCGTCACGACCCGTCATTATTTCTTCCGAAGTTAAAAACAAATAGTGACGGGATATGATACCATCATTAGTAAACATATAGTGATAGTATATTTACCGTCACTAAAACGTTCTTTTTGTGACAAAGAATCCCGTCACTAATACAACTACTCTCTAACATAATTTCCTCTCTTTATATTATTGTAATGATGAAAAATCCCGTCATTATATTAGATTTTTCCCGTCACTAAAAATTATAATTTAGTGTTAAATATTATTTTTCTAATTTTGTATATATTGTTACTTCTCATTAAATATTAATTTTTATAACTCCCACTAATCGTTATTATGTTATGTTGTAATTATAGATATTGTGTTGGCCAAAGTAAACTCAATCAATATATTAAAAGACTTCATCATCACTACCAAAATGAAATGTTTCATACAACTTTGTAAAGATTAAAGGTAAAGAAACTAATTATAACAAATAGCCATAGTAATGTATATATTGGCTATTTTGAAAAATGAGATGGTACAGATAAACATGTTTAGTTTAGACAAAAGCAGCCCCAAAGCAAAAATGTCTAGTCTACTTCATACAAAAAAAAAAAAAATTACTTTCTATGTGGTGTTTGGTATGCCCTTTTTCATCAATAGCTTTGCCACCTGTAAATAAAAATAATCAAGGACAATATACTCAGTATAATTGAATATGCAATTAAAGATCATGCATGCACATTTAACTCACAATTCGACCAACCCAACCAGATAGATGAAGGGCCAAGAAATACTAGTGTGCAACTCAAGTTATATATTCCCAAATAAAACTCACAACTCAAGCTAAAAGACATTTATAAAACCTTAACTCAAGAAAAAATCAGCAAACTTTAAATGCAAAAGTGAAGTGAACTTACATCATTGACAGGATACATAGCTCGTGAGCACAAAGACATATTCATTGAGATATTTTCACAAACACATGAGGAACAAAAACATTCTCTTATTGCAACAAAAGCCATTTTAATAGTTATTAACTCATCAAACAGAACAAAATTATAAAACTAAACCTGCAAACTTAAAATTCTTCCAATGTCAACAATTAAGCCAATTAGGCACAAAATTCCCACACTGAAGTTAGCTTTAATAATTCCACAAATCATAATGACAGCAATTGAGAACATTAAAATCAAATCTAGCAACTTGAGTAAACCATAGCGAATCAAATTAAACCTAAAAGATCAAAGTAACGAAAATTACAACAAACAAGATGATTAAATGCTAAGATTATGTTCTGAAGAGTTGTTACCTTAAGTAATATGGAAAGTTATCAAATGAAGCATCTATATCCCGTCTATCAATCATCCTTCCCTGGATGTCTTCTTTGAATACTGCACACTGAAAGACATCCCTGATGTGGATGCTTGGGTCGAATCTATGGTCCACTCTCTTTCTTCTACCTGTTCACAGATACCCAAGTAAAATTGTGTATAGAATATATCACTTTCATTAGGAAGAAAGCTAAAGGATACATAAGCATCGCTTCCCAGCAAACCAAAGATAATCTCATTGTGTCCCTATACATTTTACTTACAAGAATGTGAAACAATGGTATCAACATGAGATGGGAGACTAAGGCCAAATGCCAGCCTATAAACTGAATGTCTGAAAGTGGTTTTTATACAGAATAGTAGTTGATCTACCAAAAAAGCACACTACCCTCATAATCCCTAAACCAACAATTCTTTAATATTGCGAATACAAGAGAAGTGCCTTCAGGCATTAGTCAAGTCCATGAAACAGCACAAATGTTAAAATGCACTATTGCTAAGCATCAAGGTACATAAGGAGAGAGCTAAAGAATTGAAATTTTAAAAGCCATACCTGTGTAAGTCTTATTGTACACAAGATCCCACTAACTGTTTGGTCCTTTATTAAAAGATTTGCAGACTTGTTGGAGCCAACAGAGAAATTTGACATAGTTGAGTTCTAAGAAATAAAAAAAGAAAGAAATGAATTGCAGATGATATTATTTAGATTATTATAAGAGTGGTAATGTAATACATAGGAGTGTCAAATATTTACAAATTTTACAGCCCATTCCATATCAACAACTAATCCAGCCACATCAACAGAGATGCTACCAACAAATTTCCATAATTACAAAAATATGAACCTGGCAGGAATTAAGAGCCAAAGGATTCTTCCCTAACACTTTACCCCTATGAATCTGTAGCTTAATCAACATCCCAAGCTACCATCTCCCACCAGTCACTCTATAGCAAACCTTCCCTCGTCCCTTTCCTACTGGGCTTCTCTATGATGTCACCACTACCCACTCAGTCAAACAATACAATTCTCTGTATAAGAAAACTAGTATACATGTGAAAAAAATACAATTCTCTGTATAAGAAAACTAGTATACATGTGAAAAATAGTTTTCTTTCTTTCAAAAAACTAACAAACTTTTAATCTAATTACATTTAGCAAAACCAGTATGAGACATGATTAATCAAATAATTAGAATATTAAACTCTTCATACCTCATAAGACATTACATTTAGCAAAACCAGTATGCAACTATGCATCCCAATTCCCAGCTTTAAAGCTTTTCAAACTAACCAAATTAAACCAAGTGGACATTTATGCATATATAATAGCTCAAATTATGCAATAAACCAGATTTAGACAAAACTACATGTTGCCCATAACTATATAAGTTCAGATGCTTCCTATTAGGTTTCTTCTTATTAAACTTTATGCAGTACCTCAGCATAACACAACGGATTTAATATCTACAAAATGAATTCAATTAAAATTCACAACTTAATCTGCAAGGTAAAGTTATCAACTTTGCCAAATTCAAATATTTACAGAACAAGGAAAGACCTCAACCAATTTTTTGGTCAAAACAACACAATGCACTAATTTACAAGTTTCAAATATAGCAAATTCACTAATAAAATTACAATAAAAGAGAAACATAGGGATTTAGGGCTATAATGGGCTTAATGAAATTATGATTTAGGGACAAATGGAATTAGGAATTTAGGGATTAGGGTTTAAGATTTGAGTAATAGAACGAACCTTAGCTCAAAAGAAATGGCGATGGCAAGCGACTGTGACGGCGAAGACCCATGCGTGCACTGCTGCTGTAGGCTGTCGGAGTTGGTCGAGGAACGGCGGGAAGAGGCGGCTGTCGTGATGGATTTGGTGCGGCGGGAAGTGTACGAGCGGAGATTTGCAGCGGCGATTTTTTGTCTGAACAACGGGAAGATTATGAAGTTACTGGAGAAATACTGCAAAAAAAATTAAAAAATTAAAAAATTAAAAAAAAAACACTAAATCTAAGAAATTACCTTATGGTTAGTCAATGATGATACCTGAGAAAAACCCACAAGTAATTTATGGTGAAGAGAAGGGAAATAGATAGTGAACAGAAAGAGAGATGGGGAGATAGTGAGAGTGGGTGAGATACTGAGATGCACGGGAGGTGGAAAGAGAAAAGATGAAGACGTGTGGCTGTAAAATTTTATTTATAAGAGGGCGCCAACAATAAAATTTGGTGGGAATTAAATTTGAATGAAATAATTTTTCAACATCAATAGTGAGAGTAACAACATATTTTGTACCAATAGTTTGAGTATATTTTTAAAATAAGTATAAACATAAAATTCCGTCACTAAATGATAAACCTTTAGCTAGAGTAATTGTTAACCCTCACAAAAACTATGCAAATAATACATTTAGTGAGGAGTTTTTCTACCCGTCACTAATTTTTTGTCACTAAAAATGGTTTTTCTTGTAGTGACACCTTACAATAAAAAAAAATTAAGACTATTAAAATTAAAATATTATGTTGTAAATAAAAAAGAAGTTAATCTAAAATATATTAGAGCTATTTTCAATATACTTCAAAACTATTCTACATACATTTCATAAATGAATTAAATTAAGCATGTAATAATTACGGAGTATAAAAAAAAAAAACGACTGCCATTGATACCCATGTCTTTCCCCTTCCAGTGGTAATTCCTAGATTTATGTTGACCTGATAATTTAAACTATTAAACTAATTTTCACTTTTCTTTCTTTTACCACTAAAATATCATAAACTTATTTGATAATTTATGGTACTATACGGTGTATAGTTAGCTATATAATTTATTTATTTTTATGAATATTTTAGGTATTGTTTTCTCTACTTAGACATGGAATGCTTTCTTGCACATAGTGAAGAAGAATGAGTATAACAAGGAAAATTAGTGACAGATGTATTTGCAATCCTGTTACGGACTGAACTTATTGCTATTGATGCTCATGTCCTTCCACCTTCAGACGTAATTCCTGGATTTATATTGGCTTGATAATTTAGATTATTAAATGGACTTTCGACTTTCGAATTTCTTTCTCTTAGCTTACAGCTAAAATATCAAGAATTTCGACAGGAATCTCTTGTTGATCTTAAGGTTAAACAGTGGAACATGATAATTAAGTGCTGGTTATTGATGTATCTTTATGTTTGAGTAAATTTTCATTATTTTTTTCATACTTTTTTGTTGATTTAAATTTTTTTCTAATTCTATTTGTGGCATGCTTTCTTGCAATGGAGAGACAATGGAGCTGTACTCGTCTCCAAGCTGTGTTAAAATATAAACCACCATGTCGTCATCCGAAAATGGGCACTGAGCTAAGGCGAGATCGTCGACGATGGACTGCATATTAGTCAGGAATGCGGTAACTAATCTATCACCTTTCGGGTTTTTGGTGAGCTTGGCTTTGAGAGAAATGATCCGTCCTCGAGAGACACTAGCATAGCTAGCAACGAGTCGTTGCCAGGCATCACACGCTGTTGGTGCGGAAGAGATAAGGGGTTGAATTGTGTCAGAACAACTCCCTAGTAACGCATTAGTAATGATCTGGTCTTGACGATACCAAGTCAAGTGTGCAGGATTCAGGGTGGTTTGTTCAGCACCACTAAACTTGGTTGGTTCTTTAATAGAACCGTCGATGTAGCCAATGAGATTGAAGCCAATTAATGTCGACTTGACTTGGCGTTTCCAAATGGGGAAATTGGTGGGGGTGAGTTTGATAGGGAAGTTGGACGGAGCAGTTTGATAGGGAAGTTGGACGGGGCATTTAGGTGGATAACATCATTTGTGGTTACAATAGATTGGGAAGCCATATTGGTCACAAAAGTGGCGAATAGGAAAGGAAAAAAAAAAATCTCTTCAGGATATTCTGGCTCTTGATACCATGTGAGGGAATGAATTATATGTTTATTGATGTAAAACAGCTAATTATAAATAGTACACAAATAAAAGTAAGTAGTATGGAGTTACAACAACTAGTGTAACATAACTATTCTACAGGAGCATAATTAGAATAGATACAGAGATGAAATATGTCAGTCACATATATCCTTAACATAGTAGACCCACTAATTTACATAATTCTATTTATCACGTTTCTCCTATAATCATATTTTCGGGATGGATACACCTTACAGTACATATAGTAATAACAATGCTTAGGGCATATTTTGCATCAATTTTATGTTATGTTATTCAAAACCCCTTCTAACTACCATGTGGCCGGCAATACACTTGTGTAGGTAATAATTACTTTTGAGTTCATATTAAAGAAAATTTACGGGGTGATTATGAATAAATGGTGATGTCACACTGTAATTAGATGGTGAGGGATCGCCAATCATTATTATGTGGATCATGGTCCATATAAGTTGTATGGACCAGATTTTGCATATTGTAAAAAAATGTACATTTAGTACAAAATAATGTACATTTAATATAAAAATAATGTACATTGTATTCGGGGGATGTACATTATTTTTGCACTGAGTGTACATTATATTACATAATGTACATAGAGTACAAAAATAATGTACATTTAATATATTAAAATGTACTTTTTATTATGGTCTACATAATGGTCCACACACTAATTTGCCACGGACCGCCACCACGTCCCCTTTCGTCGAGACCGCCGGTTCCCTCATGGCCGGCGACACCGCCTCTACCGCCTCAACCACCAGCACGTCCACCAGCGGGATCACCAGTGCGTTGCGACCGTCTCCTCCACCGCCACCCGTTCCACGGCTTTGACATTTTTGTGATTGTAATCTTGACGAAAATGGAGTATAATCTGGAAAAGGAATACAAGCTAGGGAGGAAAGTGTTATGACTACTCTACTCACACGATTTGTATTTATAAGCTGAAGACTAGTAACGGAAAGACTGTGAGAGGACGTGGAAAGAGTGAGAGTGGCGTGGCAGTTCTCTACAAAAAATCTTTGTCCGTATGATTATTACAAATTATGATAGAAAAAATAACTTTTTCCCAAAATAAATAAATATAATGGTGAATGAGATTCTTCATATAAGATTATCTCTAAATTCTAATAGTAGTTTTTCAATGTTTTCTGTAGGTTTTGGTGTGCATGTGAAAGAAAGAGAGTGAAGAGAAAGAAGACATGAAATTCTCCTACAAATATTGAGTTTTTGACAGTGAAGTCGGCCCCCTGTGGGGAGGAAATATGCGCCTCACAACACGCTTGAGACGCAACTCTCGCGTCCAGACTGGCACGTTAGCTGCACATGCCTGACTAGGGGCATAAATCTGTAATTTTTTTTTTCAGATTTTGATTTTGTTTGTTTGTTTGTTTTTTTCCCTCCCTTTAGTCCCCTCTCATCTTCTCTTTTCTAGTCACACTCACAAAAACTTTTTAAAAAATTACAACAAATGGTGATGTTCTAATAAAGTATTTAAGTGTATAAGAGTAATTTCATGAATCGGTGTGAATTTTTTGATGATTTTTTTTTTCAATTTCCATGTAGGGAGGGGGAAGCGATATGAGGAAAAAGGAGAAAAAAGAAAAAGAAATAAATAGAAACAGTTTCATACTATCATTACATGCCTAGTTGGGCGCACTATTTTTCGACACTTAATGTTGCACCGGTGCTTTATTTAATTTCTTTTCCTCATTTAGTGGACTCTACCAAAATTTTATATTTACAAAAAAAAAAAAAAATCAATTCCTATCGGTTAAAAAATTACATGCTAGTTTTTTTTTTTTTTTTTTTTTTGAGAAACAATGAATATTCCCACATCTGTGTTTTATAATTAGTATGCAGTCCATTTTCCTATATCACTACCGTAGTGTATTTTTAGAGGCTATTAAATAGAATTAAATATACATGTTGGTTATAACTATAAACTTCCCAATAGTGTGTAAACATATCAGCCACAAAGAGGGTTGGTTTCTGCACAGCCACATATCAGGATCAACAAAGATGAACGGTTCATAGTGACATGATAAGGTAGTCTGGTATAAACTATATATAGTAGTTAATCTGCCAATATTAAACTCTCTCATTTTTCACTTTGGGGACAACCACAGGGAATTACTAATTGGTTAGAATCATATTTTATAGTTTAGTTTTTGTTACATTGGCTTAGGTGTTTCTTTGATCTTTTTATTTTTTTTGGGTATATCCATACTAAATGTTTTATTGACTATACTTAATTATTAGAGATGGAGTGAGTGAAGGTCAGTTTAGTCAAATTTTGTTAGAATAAATGGATGCAATTCGAAAGGTATGCAATAATTGTGTGTTCTTCTGTTTGGCCTATTCTGAGGTCCCTTCATTTTTTATAGGCTATTTTGAAGTCATCAAGGACAATGTGAAGGGTGTCTATGTTTTACTTGGGAAACAAATTAAATACTTTTGTTTTTGTTATGCAAATAAATTTTTGTTTTATTTGTGCTGTTGTTTGGCCTTCTAAGTGAAGTATGGGAACATGAAAATCAACTTTTTTTGGTGTGCCTTTTGATTTAGATATTTTAATTTTTGGTTACTTGAAAGACTGAGAATAAGTATTTTTATGATGTTTGATTTAGGAAATATAGAAATGCTTCCAAATCATAATCTAAACTCAATAAATTGCATAAACTTAATGGATAAATAGAAAGGTTATAAATTTTAATAGATTGAAAATAATGGACACCATCACAACTACAATGTTTTACTTGAAACTTAATTTGTTAGGAATATATGTTAGAAATTTTGATGAGCAAAGTGTATTTTAATTTGAAAATTTATAGACCCAAATTTTCTTTGTATTTGATCAAAATCATCTTATGTGTCAAAATTGATTTTAGAAGTAGAAAAGATTTTAGAAAATTACTTATAAACAACAAAGATTTTAAAAGTAGTACATGTTTTTAAAGATTTTATATAACAAAGGTTTCAAAAACATTATATAAGCAACAAAATTTTGAAAGTCAATCAAGAACGACAAAGATTTCAAGCAACTGAATTGCATAATCACAGGCCCGACCCTGGGCAAGGGCGGGCATGGGCCCTTGCCCAGGGCCCATGCTTGGAGGGGGCCCCCTCAGTGCGTACACATTTTATATATAGTATATATATGTGAATATGTAAATATTATACATCTAGTTTACACAAAGTTGAAGTTGTTTGATTGGTAGGTATCTAGACTATAACCTATAGGAGTAGGGGTTGAATCCTTCTAATTTGATTTCAGCCAACAAAACTCCCCCAAAGTAAATATTTTATTTTATTTTATTTTTTTCCTCCTTTTGATTTGATTTTAGCCAACAAAACCCCCCAAATTTGTGAGAAAGAATGTTGAATATTAAATGTTTTTTTTTCTTTTATTTTTTTCCTACCGCGCGTGCGCGCGCACACACACACACACACACACACACACACACACACATATATATATATATATATATATATAATATTTGTGATTTATAATATGCTTTCTATTTAAATTATTTTATCCAAACAATCGTTAACTATTCAAATATCATATGCTTTTTATTCAAATTTTTAGTCATCAAAACCCCAAAAATTTGTGAAACTAGATATAAAAATGTTGAAACTAAAAAGTAAATGACATTTTTTTTTCTAGAATGGAATAATTATTCCTAAAAACATATAATTAAATAACATTTGTGATTTATAATATGCTTTCTATTTAAATTATTTTATCCAAACAATCATTAACTATTCTAAAATCTCTTGCTTTCTATTCAAATTTTTTTGGTCATCAAAACCCCCTAATTTGTGAGATTAGATAAAAGAATGCATTTTGAAAACAATATCATAATTTTGAAAAGTAGAAGGCTTTTTTTTTTTTTTAAATAAATATCTCGTCAATGGAAATATATATATATATATATATATATATATATATATATATATATATATATATATATAGTAAGATTTATGATTTATAATATGCTTTTGATTTAAATTATTGGAATAAGGTTCAAATTGGCCACTGAACGTAACCTGAAAATGCAATTAGGCCACTGAACGAAAAAAAGATGCAATTAGACCATTGAATACCTAAAAACGTGCAATTAGGCCACTGAACACTCCAAATGTATGCAATTTCACCGGATAGCAGGTTACCATCAATTTTACCAGGTTACCTGCTTACGTGGCGGCTGAGTTGACATTTTTAATAATTTTTAAATAATTTTTAATAACTTTTAATAATAAATTTTTTAAAAAAAATTGAAAATAAATAAATATATAAATTTTAAAAAAAATTAAATTTGTTTTAAATAATTTTTTTAAAAAAATTTATTATTAAACTTTATTAAAAATTATTTAAAAATTATTAAAAATGCCAAATCAGCTGCCACGTAAGCAGGTAACATATTAAAATTGATGATAACCTGCTATCAGGTGAAATTGCATACATTTGGAGTGTTCAATGACCTAATTGCATTTTTTTTCGTTCAGTGGCCTAATTGCATTTTCAGGTTACGTTCAGTGGCCAATTTGAACCTTATTCCTAAATTATTTTATCCAAACAATCTTAACTATTTTAAAATAATATATTTTTCTATTCATACTTTTAGCTTCACATCTATTTGTAAGTGTTGTTTTATAAATTTTTAATAATAATAATTATTTATTTATTTATTATGATAAAAATGTTATTGTTTATAAATTATTTTTAGTACTATTGACTTTATTAGTTTATTACAAGGTAATATATGTTATTGTTTATAAGCTTATTTCAGTTTTAAATTGTTTGTTCATTTTTATAAATTATTTTTTTTTGTAAAAGTACGTAAAAATATTTTCATGATTATTAGTGTGTTATTCTGTATGCAAAATTGCTAATAACTTGTTAATATTATTTCATGTTATTTGATATTAGTTTTTTCTTCTTTATGTAATTTAAATTTTAGGTAAGAAATATATATTAACATCCGGTAGGGTCTCTTTCTTTTATCATGCCCCGAACCTATAAAATAATAGGACTGGCCCTGCATAATCAATTCAGAAAATGGTTAATGAATATAAACTTTTTCAGGGTATAATTCAAATGGGTTCAGTAAAGAATTGCGTAAAATGTGCTGCAGTAAAGGGATGACATGCCATGTTTTTCAGTCCGATAGTTTTTTTTTTTTTTTTTTTTTTTTTTTTTTTTTTTTTTTTTAAGGGAAAAACATAATTTCATTAATTCAAATCAAAATACAAGTGGTTGACAATAAAAAGAGGGGTCATAATCCACTCCTTAGGCACAGACAAAGAACAGACTTTTCTAACAAGATTATGGACAACTCTATTCGCAGTGCAACGTCTGCAACTAACATGAGAGATATCTACTTTAGTGAATGAAAGTAGCATATCATCAACAAAAGGGTTTAAGCTCTGGACAATCTGGAGAGCATCGCATTCAACTTGGATGTATCTGTCTCCCTGATCCTTAATCGATGTAAGGGCTTCTCTTATGGCAATAGCTTCTGCCTCCTTTGGTGTGAAAATCCCCTTCCCTGGTAAACAAGCAGCTGCTATAAACTGACCAAATTCGTCTCTAAGGACCCAACCGAAACCCATGAGCTTCTTTGTCGGATCCACTGATGCGTCTGTGTTCAGCTTGAAGTACCCTGGTTTCGGTTTCTCCCATTCCAGATTAATTTGTCATGTCGCTTTGATGAGGATAATGGATTAATGGTATGCTCAAGATCAAGTTCACATCCCTCTCCAGTCTCCACAAAAATGTCTCGAATCACCCCTTCATCCCACGCAGACTGATCCTCCTTGATAAGATATGAAACCGGCGCATCCTGGAGAAGAGGGAAAGGAGGGGTAATTACCTTGGCATTCTCGCTGCAAGGCAGCCAATCATCGCCCCATATTCTAACAGAGTTACCGTCTCCAATTCGCCATCTACTATGTCTTCTGATGATACCAAGGGTCTCGACCATACTGCTCCATATAAAAGAGGGACTGCCTCCTTTGCTTGCTGACAGGATAGAACAATCAGGGAAGTATTTTGCTTTGTAGACCTTAATTAGCAACCAAGGAATCCGGGTTCTGTAATATCCTCCATGTTTGTTTTGAGATCATTATATTGCAAGATTGAAATTCCTCAAGTTTCTGAAATTGAGACCTCCAAAGATTTTTGGTTTAGCCATAGCATTCCACTCCTTCCAATTGATCCCACGTCTGCTTGTGCAATCTCCTCTCCACCACAATGAGTTCATGGCTCTCTCTAGTTGGATGATCAGTGTCTTGGGTAACAGGAATAAACTCATAGCATGAAGCCATGAAGGGGGATAGCTTGGATAACATTTTTCAACTCTGCAACCTATTCGTCCAACTCTGCATTCTGTCCATGATGCGATCCTTGATGAATCCCAGGATTCTCCTCTCATCTTGTTTCTACCAATGATAGCTGGCAGTCCCAGATAGTTCCCTTCAGCGACTTCTTCATTAATCTGGAGAATGCTCTTCACTTGCTCTCTCATTGGCCTGCTTACATTAGTTAAATTGTAATTACATGTATTTGGAGAGTTGTAACATTGCTTGATGCCTTTTTCTTTGGATTTGTTAGAGACTTTTGTACCATACTATGATTTTTGATAGTATTATCAGGTTTGTTTGGTTACTTTTGTTATCTTACTATTGGATTTAAATCTTTTAGTAATTACAAAACATATTACCATGTTACTCTATTTTTGAATAATAGAATAAAAAATAAGGGATAAAAATTGAAAATATAAAATAGTTATTATTCATGCATTAAATATGAAATTTTAATATATATCTACTATCTACTAAGTATAATAAATGTTGGTCAAGTTATAACAAGAATAAAAATTATGTTGGTGTAATAATATAAATTGATACCTTGTATATTTTGAATTTTTCCTTGTACAATAATAAGACATTTCCAAACATTTGATTTTTTACTTTGTTGAACATATAATATGAATATGTTAGAGTGTAATTTTAAAAATACTTACTCATTTCAAAATATTTTATAACATAATAACAACAACAACAACAACAAAAAAACAACCATGGACACTTTATTTTATATTATTATTGTAACAATTAAATTAGTGTATACAAAATTGACCCCGTATCAATTTTTTATTTTAAATTTTTCTATTCTTTTTTGAACTACTTTCTTCGTTATGGTAAGAATTAAAATATAATAATATTTAGAGTAAATACACAAAATGTCCCTCAACTATAGCTGAATTCACTTGATCCTCGACTTTTGATTTTAACAAATTAAGTCCTTAACTTTTCAATTTTGATACAATTTCGTCATTTGT